TGGTGCTGACGGCGCGTGGCGCGCCCCGTGTTTCTGCAGGCGATATCCCGGCTGTGTGAGGACAAGTACAAGGACCTCGGCAAGGCAGCGATGAGGCGGTCCTTCAGCGCAGACAATCTCGTGGGGATCCGCCGTTCCCACGCCGTGCTGTCCTAGTCCCGACTGGGGGGGGGACCTCGCCCCCAGCCACGCCGAGAACGGAGAGCACACTCCAGTCAGACACTCCAGAGACATTACAGGCACATGGGTGCAAAAAAAACGTTTTTTTTTGCTTACTATGTAGGCTAATAGCTGTGAAATTTGTCAGTTTTTAATTGAAATCATTTGCAGATGGGAGTATTTTAAATAAACACTAATCGTATAACAAATCGATTTTTATTTTTTCTTACGATTGCGTGGTTTGTCTTCTTCCCACCCCGGACTCCAGCTGTGGTGGGTCTCTGCTGTCTGTCGAGGCAGCCTTCACGAAGTGATCCTCACTTGTGATCCGCAACAGTGAAACGCGTATTCTGATTCGGAACGTAGCTCTCCTTCGCTCCCAGCAGTGCAACAAACTGAGTCCGAGAGCCTCTGACCCACCTGGTGGGGCTGTAGCCAGTCTGAGCCCAGGGACCAGTGACCCACCTGGTGGGGCTGTAGCCAGTCTGAGCCCAGGGACCAGTGACCCACCTGGTGGGGTTCTAAGCCTGAAGATGACAGTGACTCTGTGAATTGCTGTTGGACCTCTGCTACCAGATGTTGCAAGTGTTCCACCTCGTGTTCACCCATCCAGGGAGCAGAGACCCTAGTTCTGCAGTAACTGCTCTGGCGGGCTGGAGGGCAGTGAGGAGATCTGGGACACAGCCTGCCTGAGGAAATCGAGTGTTGGTGGGACAAGTGGAAGGTGCAGGTTAACGCTGGCACCTGTGCTGATGTAAACAGGAAATAAGTGCTGTCTAGGGCAGATCATGCCTTCTTATAACCACTCTGCTACAATAACTACAGTGCTACATTGACAGGGGTTTAAGAAAGGTGCCACTTTACTGTAGACAGAACCGCCTGACAACGTTCAGGAGATGATAGGATTTAATTTCAGTTTTGCACTTGAATGGCAGCAGTTTTCCTTAAAATACCTGTTTACAAGAGATTTTATTTCTTCTTTATGCTGAATCTAGTGATAGCTTTTATTTCATCTCCTATATTTATGAACACAGTGTTGCATGTGTTTTTTTTTCTAAATGTTGACTGGAATGGATTTGCATTTAGGAAATGTGGGACACCAGCAGAGATCAGAGGTCAGCGCAGGTCACACCTTGCAGGTCAAGGTAGCGAGGCAGCCAGGGCTCCTACAGACCTTACTGTCCAGCCAGACCTTCCACAGCTCAATTTGTTCCTTAAACTGCCCACTGCGCCAAAGCGGCTTTCGGTAGTTAAAGATCGGTAGGAAGAGATCTGCTATGAGGCGGATGTGGCCAGCCTGCCGTAAGGACAAAGCCAGAGGCGACCTGGAAGCTTTTGGCGTGTCCTTCGGAATAAAATGGCATCCAGAGCATCCTTATCAGTCACTGAGACGACAGAATCAGGGCTGGGGAAAGCAAGCAAGCAGGCCAGGTGAGCAGCCCTCCACCGTGCGCTCACGAGAGCGCAGCAGCTGAGTCTGCGCCCCTTTCAGGGACGCGAGGGGCCGAAGTCCACATTCCAGCTTGATCCTTCTGTCTCTGGCTTCCACCCCCCTCCCCTCAGGCACGCAGAGCTGCTGCTCTTTCACACAGGCCCCTGGGCTGCTGCGTCTCCACCTGCAGCCTTCCCCTGTCCGGTACAGCTCGCCCTTCCTTCTCCCTGGTAATCTCGTCCTTCCAGTCGCCTCTTGTTGTTTTGCACTTGGCGGGTTTGTCCACCTGTAACACACTGGACTTTCTGTATTGCAGTGCACAGTGGGGCCTGAAGGAGGAGTGGCCCTTCTCCATTTTGCTTTGGCAGTTTGAGCTCATTTCGGTCTAATAAAGGGTGAATTGGAGCAGAGCAGCACATGACAGCAAGTTTACTTTCTGGTGCTCGTGCCTTGAAGGCAAGAGTCCCTTCTAATCCTGGGTCCTGTTTCTTCCCCTTTTCCAAGGATCTGAGAGGGGAAGCCTGGTGATGTCAAACTTTTTTTTCTTCACCAGGGCCTGTCTGTTTTCAGCTGTTTGATTCTTGCTCTGGGGGGGGGTCTTGGTCACATGTACAGTACGTACGTGCTCTGTTGGGTATATTTGATTTGTTTTTCCTGAGATGTTTCACAGTTGATGACTTGAAAGAATCGGCTTATTCAAGGCTACAGTTCCTATGGGACGGTTCTGTCACCTGGGTAGGAGTGTTTTCTTTCTCCACTTAAATAACTAAGTGGTTACATGTTACTTGATTCCTTGAGGCTTTGCACTGCCGCTGGGGGGTCCTCATCAGAGAAAAGGGGACTATCAGTGATCTGGGCCAGAAGTCCTGTGCATCTTTTATGTCAACTCATGAATAACCACGGACCCAGGGACCGAGAAGGTCTGCTGATTTTTCAGGGCAGCCCAGCTCTGATTTGCTTAGTTGAACCAATTATTGGCATAATTACTCCAGATAAATGAGATCAAAAGCTAACTATACCTCTGCACCAGCCTCTTTAATGGTCAGCTGTATGATTCAAGCTGCAAACCCATCTGATTTGTTTAAAACTTAAGGTATTGATGGTATCTGATATTTGTGTTTCCAAGCAGACTGGGAGATAGGGTACGTTATCCTCGTACAGTACATTTCCTTGAGGACCTGGGTTTAAAATACAGGGTACCATTTCTACTCCATCATTCTAAGGCCAGTAAGACCTTAAAAGCTGTAATCAAAGACTTGAGAAGTATCCCTATAAGAGAAGCCTGACCTACTTTCTCCCAGCCCAATGAACAGAACAGGAGTGTTAAAAACTGGAGTTTTTCTGCACTCTACCCTCAGTCTGTGGGAGGAAATTAAATTACTGCAGTCTGCGGGTCTGCTGAGAGAAGGTTAAAGTAGTGTGTTATGGAGCCAGAAAAGTATCATCTCAGTTTGTGTTCCTTTCAAAACATCAGTGTGTCCGTATAGCCAGTACCTTAACATTACCTACCCCTGGTTCCTACTGCTCAACCTAGAACCAGCAGGTGTCCTTTACAAACTTCCTAATCTAGTGTCTCTACAGGGATACACAAGTGGGCAGTCCTCAGCTGCTTTGATTTCTGCTTCTTCAGCTTTGCACGTTTGAGAGCACCTTGACGTCGCCCAGCACCTTTTTTGAAGCACAACGTTCAGCAAAAGGAGCTGTATTTCCGACAGCATGAATTGCACAGCACTCAATTAAAACCAGCTTTGACTTGACTTGTTGAAAAATAAAGAAGCTGGCCAGTGCAGAGCTTAGGAACCAGAAGGAACTGCGGGTCAGACACAGCAATGAGCACAGCACACATGCCTGTTCACAGACTGTTTGACAGTTTATTCTCTACAGGTATCGGAGAAACAGACAAGAACTTTCCATTATAAATATCTAAAATCTCATTTTCTTTTAAAATCTCAGGATTTGACCATTTTAAAAAATATAGTACATACACCATTCAAAACTACTTTGTGAGCAACATAAGCCAAAGTGTTTTACAAAATTTACAACACCTGAAAGTCTTTAAAAAAAACTAATTTTTTTACACTATTTTTTCCCACTTCTCAGCCTATGACTCGTTCATAAATAAGACTTAAGGAGACCCGTATGATTCTAACAGTTTATACAACAATGTACATTATTTAAAAATACTACCGGTGCAATCTAGGCCATTTTGTACATCCAGTAGAGGGAGAGATACAGGCAGCAGCACAGACTTCACACTGCAGGATCTGTGCTGTAAGATACACCCCTTAGAAAACAGCTCCTGCACACAGTTCAGGACCGACTGCCTACAGCTTCACGTTGAACAGGTGAAATACTGATCATCACACCAGCAGCGACTCTCAGGATTGAGTGGACGCTGCTTTTGAGAACAGCAAACTCGCGTGACCCTTTTTAGAAACGAAACTGAAGACATTTTTACACAGTCGATCCGCATGGGATAAAAACCAGAATTCCCCCTTCAAAGTGAAATCCTGTACAGTACTTTCTCTTTCGGCTATCCTAGTGATAGGTGATGGACGTCCCGAGGAGGTTAAGGGACAAAGCAGAGGTGTTTGCTAAAGATGTTGCAATTAGGAGACTTGACCACTGGGGGGCACAGCATAACAATATAACCATTCCTATTCAACATTCAAGTGCGGAAATTGGAACATTAAATGAAAAGCAAATTAGGCCGGAGTTCTGAGGACAATATTCACGAGAAACAACGGCTGTTTTGCCCATATTGTGGTTCCCATTGTCAGGGGAAAATGATTCAATGAATCCAGGAAATAACGGAGAGGTAATGTTTCTGCTCTCCGTGGCACTATAGTAGATGTCCGGTTTTTACTTATTTTTTCCATTTTTTAAAGGGTAGATCTTCTACCCTAACTACATGAAACCATTGTTTTGGACGTCCCTCTGCTGTGCTTAGAGCGGACTCCAGCACCTCCCAGATTCTGTGGCTCAGGGCTTCACCACCGCTGGTTTAAAAAAAACCCATCTCAACTGTGATGCAAGTTTCAGGCACTGTTCTAAAAAAAAGTTCTTTTTTTCCCCTCCACTCCAATGCTGGAGACTGTAAGCCTGGTACAGACGGCAGGAGATCAACACACCCGCTTGGAGCTCACCTGTCACGGAGCTGAGGGGCAGCCTGTTCTAACCCTCTCCCCCACTGGGGCGCGAGCACAGCTACAGCACCTACACCCAGGGGTGTCTCCGGGGGGGTGCTGGCCAAGGAGGGCCTCTCTGCCGACGGTGAGCAGGGGGCTGACCTTCCAGGGGCCGCAGTGAAAGAGGGCAGCTGGGCATTCGTCGCAGATGAACAATGGCGCTCTTTATATACCACCCGGAGGAACACCGTGACAGGACTGCAGCCAGTCCTGGCCCTCCCCGCACCGGTCAGGCGGGAGGAACGCTGGAATCCACACAGCCTGGCCCAGGGGAGGGAAGGCCCTTGCTCCTCGCACTGCGGGCAGTGAAGCCCAGGTCATTACAGGCAGAACTGCTGCTCCCCTTTGTGCCCACAGACATTATCAAACGAAACGCCCATCGCCGACTGCTTCCCCTCTGGAATGGGCACAGGGCTCAGGAGTATCCCTTAGCCCAGGGATTCCCGGCCCTCCTGCTGGAGCCCCCCACTCCTCCCGGCTTGTCTCCAGCCAAACTCTCACTCGCCCAGCGGAGCCCTCCGCCGTCGCAAGAGCAGGACGGATCTGAGCCGTTTGACGTTTCAGCTGGGAAACACACCGGAGGCCACCGGTGAGCTCTATCGTCGCGTAAGTTAAAATAAAAAAAGAGTCTGTTGAGAAGACAAAAAAAACTTTTCCAATGAAGCAACCTGTTGAATCAGTCAAGGCGTGGGTTAGGTAATGAGTTAGCTGAGGCTGGAATGAAAAGCAGCGGCTGTGTCCAGCCTGCCCCATCTAGATACTGACACTCAGTCACGCACCCTGCTGGACCTGCTGAATCCGAGCCTTGGAACAAATAAATAAGAAGGACGCCCTGTCCCCCGGGCCTAGCGAGAGAGACCGCAGAGCCCCAGGGTCCGCAGCCAGCAGGACAGGCCCTGGCGTGAGTAAACCTGCGGTCCAGCCTCTGCAACTGGTCCTGTTCGGTGTTTTGAAAATGTGCTGCCAGGTCCATCTTCCCAATTCCGTTTTAAACCACAACACAGCCAGAGCAGCTCATTCGGAGCTCTTTTTTTTTTTTTTTAAACATAGCGCCATTAAAAAAAAGTCACTCAAAACACCCCCCCCAAAATTCAATTTCCTTGCCTTCTTCCGGGCACGCTCTGTCAATCTGCTGACTCCCCCAGGTGTGGGGGGGTTTGCGGTGTCGGGGCGGAGGTCGTCCAAGTCGAACAGCTCTTCCACCACTCACCTGCCGGATTAATTATCTTCCTCCCGACACGTTCCAGAAGGAGAAGGGGGGACCCAAGGGGGACTCAAGGAGAGGGGGGGACCCCTAGAACAGCCAGTCCGCGCCCCACCCCCCCCCAGCCCCTACACGTGGGACAGGGGCACGGGCTTGTGGTAGGAGCCGGCGCTGGCCACCCCGGTCCGGGCCGTGAGCGCCGTGCTGGCCTCGCTGTACATGGAGGCGCTGGTGGGCTTCCGCGGCTGGCAGCAGCGCCCGCCGAAGCGCCGCCACGACTCCAGGGTCTTGCCCGACCAGATCCACACGCCGGACGTGATCCCCCCCACCAGGCACATGAAGTACTTCAGCATGAAGACGGCGTAGTCGGGCCCCGCCCGCCCGCGCTCGGCCGGGCAGGAGCACCCCAGCGCCCGCTCCCAGCCCTCGCGGTAGTGCTGCTCGTACACGTAGCACGCCACCACCGCGGTGGCCGGCGCGGTGTACAGCACGGTGAAGATCCCGATGCGGAGCATCAGCTTCTCCAGCTTGTCCGTCTTGGTGCCGCCCTGCTTGATCACGCTGCGGATGCGGAAGAGCGAGACGAAGCCGGCCAGCAGGAACAGCGAGCCGGTGAACAGGTAGGCCACCAGCGGCGCCAGGACGAAGCCGCGCAGGTTGGCGATGCTCTGGTTGCCCACGTAGCAGATGCCCGCCACAGGGTCCCCGTCCACGGAGCTCAGCGCCAGCACGGCGATGGACTTGACGCTGGGGATGAGCCAGGCCGCCAGGTGGAAGTACTGGGCGTAGCCGGCGATGGCCTCATTGCCCCACTTCATGCCCGCCGCCAGGAACCAGGTGAAGGACAGGATGACCCACCAGATGGAGCTGGCCATGCCGAAGAAGTAGACGAGGAGGAAGACGAGCGTGCACAGCGCGGGGCCCGTGGTCTCGTAGTGCACGTGCTGGTAGTCCGGGTTGCAGGCCACCCGGGCGTGCCCGGCCACCAGGCGCACGATGTAGCCCAGCGACACGAACAGGTAGCAGGCGGCCAGGAAGATGATGGGCCGCTCGGGGTACTTGAAGCGCTCCATGTCGATGAGGAAGGTGGCCACGGTGGCGAGGGTGGAGACGAAGCACAGCACGGACCACAGGCCGATCCAGAAGCCGGCGAAGGCGCGCTCGTCCGCGGAGAAGTAGGGCAGGTGGCAGGGCACGGCGCAGTTCAGCAGGCGGCCCGCGCGGATCCGGTTGTACAGGGGGTGGGCCTCCCGGCGGATGGGCACCAGCGGGTCGCGGC